ATATATCTAGATTCCCCATCAACCGGTCGTAGTTGATTTGGAACAACTCGACCAAATGCCCTAGAGAGGAGACTTTCTCCAGGGCTCGTCGTTTTCCGAATCCGACTGAGTTTGATCTTCCGTCGTTTGATCCACCTCTATTTCCTGAATTTGGCTGGATATGTTGGACCGGCTACGACGGGCCTGCGTACAGTCGGTACTGTAGTGACCTATCTTCTGGCAGTTGTAACACTTTACAGCTTCCAAATTGGTGGTTGTGGGCAGTGGACGTGAGCTTTTCTACGCAGCGAGAGTAGAATGGGAAGATAAAAGACCGAGGCTTCGTTCACGGGCCAAATAGTTCGGTGAGCTCGACTTTTGGTGGGGAGATCTCACGTTAATGGGTGGATTTGGAGTTATTCGACGAGTTTGGCTAGCTATTGCTTCTCGGTTCAGCTTCAGCTCGTTATCGAAATACGTGAATCTTTGGAGCGCTATCAATAAAGTGGGACCCGTAGCCAAGAACGAAATGGCGATTTTGTGTAAGTCCGGGCTGAGTTTGTGGAATAGATCCGACAAAGTATCTTCAGGGGCGATGCGTGCCTTACTTGATAACTCCGAGAAACGACTGTAAAAGTGATTAAACGATTCCGAGGTCGACATCCGGCATTTATTGTAAGACATACGAGCTGTCTCGCGCTCATTAGGATCACGAAAGAATCCAGATAGCCAATTTATCATTTCTTGGTTGTCATGGAAGTGCTGAGGATGATCCGACTTCATCCGTTGGGTCAGGTGTGACTGCGCTGTACCTTTTGTCTGGCTGAACACGTATGTTTTCCGCGCTACTTGATTCGTTAGGTAATATGCGTAGTTGGACAGATTTCCTTGGAGCATTATTTCCCAAGCATCAAATGTTGGGCTCATACCATCGTCCAATTTCTCTGAAAGGTCGGGAACTCGATATATTCGGTCCTTCACGGGGGCTCTAGAAAACTTGGTTCTTCTAGAATGTCTTTGGTTTGGAGTATCATCGTGAGATGAACCTATATCTTCTGCGCTACTGTGACTGTCGTTGGATTCCAGGAACCTATTTCTACGCCTGGCCAGCACTGTGTAGATGAAATTTCTTTCTTCTTCGGATGATTTCTTTACCTTTTGATGCGGTAAAACTTCAGGAATAATCGAATCAGAAGGATGCTAATCAGGTCGTTTGCCTTTATCTTTTTGCGTATGTGTCGTTTTCGAGGCTGACAAATTAGCAATAAGTTCATCCTGGACGGTTATCTTTCGAGATTGTTCGGATAACTGAAGCTGTATCGTTCGGAGTATGTTGGCTATGTCCTCATTGCTCGTTTGTTGGAGGGGAGGTGGGGGAGATAGCTGTAAATCATCACGAAGATTTGGGTACAGGGGACTTATTGGTGAACGGCGGAGAGCAGATGCACGGGTTGGAATAGTTGTAAATGGCCCAGGAGAACCTGCTCTACAATGGACGAAGTCGACTGACGAGGTTCGTTTATTCTTTGATTTTCGGCATTGGTTAATGTTATTCCATTTATTATTAGAATGTTTGCCGGGTGGTGTGTGCATCATTGCGTAAGATATATTATACAGAAGGCGATACAACACAATTAGTGAGACAAGAGTTATGGGTGAAGCTTAGAGTAAGCAAGGTTCACCGACAAAGCTATCAATCAGTAGGTTCGTATATAAAAAACTTATTGAGGGATATTGTTTAGACCTTCCCAGGTCTTTGGAGAGAGAGAGAGTTTAGAAAAATGTGGAAACTCGAGGGACAAAAGACGATTGGCGAGTGGTCAAAAGCTGGCGTGGACTCAAATCATAAGATTCTAAACTAAAGAGAAAAGTACCTAGCAGGATATGAATCTGTATATATTTACATAGGAGTTCAACTGTTGAAATAGAGTTGCCAACACGAAACCTCCTGTCCCTCATTGCCTGCAACCCAAGGGTTTTGCATGAAAACCAATATCCATGACAAACCTTTTGTATTGTGATTTGTCACACACAAGACTCGTGTGTGTGAAACTAGTTGTTGGAATTCCTGGATTGACCCTGTGTCGGCTTACCAACTATTGAACCGACGGCCACGTGGCCATTGAAATGTCGGGGCATCACAATGAGTGGCTAGATTTGATTCCGATATAATATTGTAGAAGACTTGTCCCAACTATCAGAGGGCTACAACGTCTTTATCTATCTACAGGTAAATTCCTCATATTCCAACCACGCTAGCCATACAGGACGTAGCATATAAAACCTGATTTGTATCATCAGTTTGGGGTTGAGGTTTACCATGCATATGCTACTCGAGTCGCATGTCTGACTACTATGCGACACGCTTAGGTATCAATCTAATAACCCACACCAAAACCGTGACTACTCACAACACTGATGATAACTCCATAAATAATTGGAACAGTAGCCTGCAATATAGCACACATAGGCTAGACATTGTTGACCAGGACCTAATCTGAACAATTATGCGTGAGATAGGTGCACAACCACCCGGCCAAAAAGCCAGACCAGAATCATAGAACACTATTAAGCGGTTATCACCACGTATATAGATTATACAGTAGGCATTCCTGACACTCACTCAGACAACAAGATCATTGATGACTTTCACACCTCAAACCCGACTTCCCTGCAACCCGCCGACTACATAACTGAAAACGAGCGTATTTGGGAAATTCTAGATCTACCGGAAAACGAGGATCACACGCAACGTCGAGGTCGCCCACAAGTCCAATTTACCCGTGAATTGGTTTATGCAATTCTTGCTGACCGTCTTTATGGTGACAAAGATCTACAATTTTCTGTGTGTAACCCAGGAAGACCTTCAATCACACGGTGGATGACAAGAAAGCAATTGATCAAGATTCTCGGACATGAAGGAATTCAACTTGTGGAAGATTGGAATAGCACGAAGGATAGAATCTAAAGATGAAGACTGAACACATTCTATTGTATAGGAGATATTAAAAGAAACTAGGAACATGAAGCATCGAGGACGACGCTAAAAAAGAGGGGGTGTGTCCAGGTCACGGGATATTGCGTTGAGAAGATTAGTGGGAACTTATTATGTAATCATGTATTAGCTTGCTTGTAACATTAGGAGTTTTCTGTTGCGATTAAGAACAAACAACTTACATCTGACTTAACGAACTCCACAGGCATCCAGTGATACTTATTATAGGCGTGCTGTGAGTTCCAAGTCACCGTAAGCCACTTCGCAACCTCTACACACGAATGCACAGGGGGATAATTAAGCCTCAACCTGGCACTAGGTAAGATGACATGCGTACATGTGGTACGTGCACGTCAGCATATAGTCTCTGCCTGTTCCTAGACACTCCCTCCTCATAGCCAATCTACTTTTTCTACCTCTACCTTAGAGCTGCCTTCCTGCCACTTCCTCTTCTCGTGATTTAGCTAAGTAGCTGCATACGCAATTAAAATCTGATGCAAAAAAAAAAAGTCCCATGCCATAAGGTGCTGGGCTGGTGTCTGGGACCTCAAAATAAATCAATCAAATCAATCAATGTAACAGATGAAGAATTGCTAGAATTACAACAGGGATCGGGCTTCGAACTTCTAACATCTAGAAACCGAATAAAAAGTATTAGGGTGAAGCGTCTCCTTGAGCTTCCTGATGGATTAGTAGGTGTGAAAAGTGAGATAAGCTTAGCTTTAAGATGGCGTAGGTTACAGGTGTCTTGTGGCTCCAAACTACCAATATGTATATTAGAGCTTAAGACTAGATCTAACTTGATTTTCTATTCATACAGGGTATCGTCTATAAAAGTACAGTATTCCTTATCTTGGGGTTGGGTGGTGCTTTGGTACACCATCCGGGCCAATCTCCCAAGTAGATACTGGGTAGCTTGAACACCTACCCCATTCGAGACAAGAGAAAGCTGGTTCGAATCCAGTGAAACCCACGCACCACTCTCTCTCTCTCGGTGATATTGTACTTGTGGGATGATGGAAGCACACTCGGTTAACCATAGGGCTTTCACGCTTTTACCTGTGGTGGGTATGCACGGAAGAGGTTAAACGCCGTAAGGGTTAACATCGAGTCGTATCTGCAAATGAAATCTGAGAGTGAGTGTTCTATATGTCAAGTTGAGTCATCCTACTTAAAGTAAATATCTTTCCATTAAAACCCGCATGGGCCTCAAGGTGCCAAATCAGGAAAAATGAATCATACATATATATTCCTTCTCTTGTGCCCGGACTCCAACGTGAACAACATTACATAAGCATTACAATTTATGAGAGCCTCGTACTAATCTAGAGGTCTGTCAATCTTGGATCCTCATACTGGCAAAGTCTTCAAAGGCTTCAGAAATGCAGAGCAATAATCCGGCTGACTAAAAGGGATACCTACAAACTCGCCTCTAACCCTCAGCAGAGACCAGACAACAACATTTTAAAGCTTTGATGGAAAACGAAAAGGGAGAGAAGCACGAAATCCAGACAAGAAATTGTAATTCCCTCTGAGTTTGATTTCAGTTTTTAAAACACGTTTTGATTATAGTTTTGTTGTTGACTTCTCCGCTTTCAGTGGAAGTTCACGCAGTTGGAATGGGGTGGACTCGGAGCTTTACCTTTGGACCAAATCCCTTTACAAAAAGTGAAACCCATGGATCTTGGAATGGGGTAGCACATTGAGAGATATCTACAGCAGCTCACATGTTGCAACATATACAAAATACTTGTGTTGCCAATAGAAACTTCATAATCTATGAAGGACATTGTCATTCAGTACTTTGCGAAAGTCTTGGTTCCGCACATAGTGGGTAGTCAGAGAAATTTTGGAAAAAGGAGGTTTGTAATTGAGAACCGTCAACAGTTAAGTTATCGTTCGGTGTTTCTGGGCTGAATCCTTGGTCCTCTCCTTGATCCTCTCCTTGATTTTGTCCTTTTTGACCTGAGCGCTGATCCTCCCCTTGAATTTGTCTGTCTCATTCTCTTCTTCACAGCTGATGAGTCTAATTCTCGTTTTTGATATGGCGCTCTAAGAAAACAGCGAATATTATCAGTAAGCTAAAGTTAAGTGGGGAATTTCCAGAGTATTGATGGAAGAATAACATACCGTCAATTTGTGTTATAATGTTTTTAAATGCATGAATAATTGGATCGTAAAGTTCTACAGAGTTAGGCCTTGAAATAAACTGATCTAGATTACTTCCAAACAATATCTTGCGAAAATCCCTTGCCAAATCCTTGACTGCGTCAAAACTTGGCGAAAAATGATCTATGATATTTTTCTCGAAGCCCACAGTAATATCTATTCTCTTCGTGTTATAGTTCGTTAATAGATCGTCTGTATACCAGCCGTTCAAATTCGCTGGCTCTGAGCTTGGACGACCATATCGCAGGCATCCCACGAGAAAAACATAAAAAAACGACTCAAGATCATAACGACAAGATTTCTTTATGCTATACTTATTTTCGCTCACGTTTTTCGGTAATTTGATTGCCATGTACTTGACAGTACCCGTTATTTTCATTTCTTCTTTCTCATCTACCTTGCCATCGACCGAAGTTGACATGTCCAGGTCAATAAGCTTACCCTCTGATTTTCCGTTTTTGTTGGACTTGGTCAAAATAATATTTCCCTCAGAAACATCACTGTGAAGGACCTTTGTGTTATTGTAAAGATCATGATGACCAATTATGGCATCAAGAATACAACTTAAAAACTCTCGGAGCGATTGACTGGATTTAAGGGGCCGTCAATTTGGCAAAAGTATTGCTAAAGTAAGCTTACATTTGCGGAAATATCCCAGTGTTGATTGTGATTCATTCTGAAGACCTTTGGAAAGGCACCATTTGTTGTTTTTCATTGAAACCTTTAATGCCATTGAGAAATCCAGCACAGCTCGGTGAGCTTCCACTTCATGCAACACCTTATCCCACACTAAATTCACAATACTGTTCACTGGTTTTGCCAGTTTTAGATAATCAATCTCGGATTGTTCTGCTCCTGACCCCCACGAAAACTTGACCATAAACATGTCATCCTTCGTCCGGTGACAAAGGTTTGCCCCTGATACTATTGTCTCTGGCCTATAGATTGGCTCGGGTATGATTTCGATCTCATTATCAACCGGCTCATCACCTTCTCGAATGGTAATGAATGATAGGCCATCTTTACGAAAAATAGTTGTATCAAGCCCAAGCTCTTCATTGCTCATGAACATGTATGATGAGATAGCTCGAACCAGTTTTTCTTTGCTTTCAATCAGACTGATTTCGCCCGAGCTGTATGCACCTGATCGATCAACTACCCAGAACTCAGCGTGCAGTTTGTGAACAACAAATCCATGCACAAATCGACGCAATGGCTGTGCGTAGAATATTTCACAAATGTATCTTGTGAGCTGGTGAAACTTGAAACCTTTCAGACCAGTACACTTGGTGAATTCGCCTATCACCCTAATATCTCTCCAATGATGTTTATTCCCCCCGCCTAGATCAGCATCTTCAATAAAAAAGTCAAGCTTTCGTCGACTCTTTGCGCCTTCAAGCTGATTGAAGTGTGTCGTATGATAAAATTTGCCTCGCACAGTAGGATCATTTGGCATGCGGATGAAAGTTAATTCCGACGTGTTTGACTTGTGAGGGAGCGTAAATTGTTTCAAATAACGGTCGAAGAAGGTGTAGAGCCAGGCCCGGAGTTCAGCTTCGTTCATGTTTATGTGGAAAACATAGGGTTGACATTGGTTGTTATCTTGGTAGCACTCCCAGACTCGCTTTGTAGTTTGAGACCACCTTTCATTCTCGGAATAAACCTCCCAAAAATCACCAACACTTTTGTAAATATTGTTCGTGAGTTCGATCTTGAGCGCTACAGTAAGTGAGAGGCAGGTTGCGTCGTAATTGGAAATCTCTGAAATGCTCCGCGTGTAGGTAGTCGTTGTGTTTTCTTCAATTATTGGAACCATTATGTCTGGAAGTGACTGTGGTTCCTCATAGGTAAGATCATCAGCTAAAGCAATGAGTTCAGACCAACATTCACGGTCGCTGGCATCAGAGACAACTAAATCAAGGAAGGTTTTAAAATCGGGGAGAAAAGCCTTGTTGCGATTGATTTTGGTGCAAATATCACGAATTTGACCTCGAAGCGAGTGGATGTTGGCGTTATTTTTAAACCCGACTGTGTATCCTAAAAGTTGAATTAACAATTCATGAATTTCTACTAAGTCAGCCTTTATCTCATTGCTCTGCACAAAGAATTTACCTTCCATTGATTCATCTGCATTGTCGTAATTTTGCCTGAATCGATCACGCAGTTCTATGAGAGGACGTTGATTATTAAATACGTAGAGTTCCTCGGAAAGGCTCATCTTGGTGTAGGTTTAAATAAGAAAATTATTGGAGGAAATTGATAATATGAAGATGATTGAAATTGGGAGAAGCTGATGACTTTGAAAAGTTGACAATGATAGAGTTTGGGGTAGATAAACCTCATAATCGTGTCAGCGCACTGATTGTGACAAGTAACGTGTTAGATGGCGAAGTCTGCAGAATTACCCGATGGTTGTAATTTTGGCATCAAATCTTAGCCTGATGCACCTATGCCCCTATGTTCTCTGGTATAGTCTGAGTAGCCTAGGCACCTACTCCACTTGGGAAGGAGACGCCTCAGACCACATTTCGTGCGGGGAAAGGTTGAAAGATGATGGAGGCATGTCTGGATAACTCAGGGTTTCTAGACGTTCACCTGGGTGGGTATTCGCAAGTAAGGGCTGACTTGTGGTGAAGAAAAAGCTACCATAACTTTGCAGTGGCACTTGCAAATGAAATCCGAGGCATAAGTGCTCCTTTTGTAAACCGAGACATCTTTTCTGTATTTTTCTTTGATATTGTGGCATAGCAAGGTAGCTGCATACGCAAATAAAATCTGATGCAGAATAAAGACCGAAAAAGACGTCAGCCCAATCGCAAATAGGAGCTTGCCTAATTCATCACCGGCCATAACCCATTACAAATTTACGACGATACGTATACCCGCAGGGAGGAAATTAAGTCATGACACACAAATCTCGTGTCATGGTTTACGTGGGACCGTTTGTCACAGTTTCAGTACAAAATGCTTGGGCGATCTTGTAAGTGTTGGACTATTTTGGAAATGGGAGTAGAAGGTAACAAATCATCGAAGGGTTGCTTCTCTATTCTCTGGCTATCGAGTATCTAAAATACATAGTTTTCCTCATATAAAACCCTACTAGATAACTCGCTGGCAATAATGCTACCACCGAAACATACCAAACTGTGCTCAGGTGTCGCCGGATCAATTGGTGTTGGTATACAGCAGAGCAAGTCCAGAATAAATCAGTTAATAAATGAAATCTAGAGAAAGTATATTTCCTACTTCTCGCTGTATACATAGGGAATTGTAATTGTCAGCGCCCATCATAACAATCTATGTTGCTAAGCAACCATATCCAGACCGCAACATTGGTAGCCCCCGTAGCTGGCTAGGCCCTATATTTCATCCCTACCATACTGGCGCAGACAGTACAAACACAAGGGATTTATCCCGTAAAATTACCCCCCCTATTTAGGATGTCTCTGCACTTCAGTATACATACCAATATTTTTTTCTCCAACGTTATAAGTGGTTCCTTATCTTTGCTCGAAAATTTCGAGAGCGACAGTATTCTCAACTTCTGAACGTGGTTCCTGTTGTAATTAAGGGAGTAACATGACTGCATTACAATAAACTGTTCACATTAGAATAATGTGCACATGCGCCATGGGATATGATTGACCTAAATCATCACTCATTGGTATGACATAGTATTTCCCAATAGATTCCTAATGGTATCTATTGGCGCTAGGATCTCTCACATCCTTCCTTTCTCGGTTAGACAAGGACAGACGTTGGAACATCCACTAGTGTGCAGAACCCCCTTATTCATGTATATAGAAGACGGTCCTGTCACGTAGATAAATTAAGCAATTCATACAACAGGAAATTATAATAATCTCCATATTATTTACACACTTGAGAATACTAGGGAATATCCTCAAGCTCGTCCATTGATCCAAGTCCTAAGAGTATAACTCACGAACTTTACTTCTCTTAACGCCATAGCTACCTCCTTCCATACCTTCATCCTAACGGTACGTCATTCCAGCTCAGCATAGCCTTTCAATAGTTCCCAGGTTTGCTCCAACTGTCCTTTCCACTTTACAAGTACTACGCGTCGTTTTACCCTTCAACGACGTACATTTTCGGCCTTGAGGATCCTCTCAATTTCAAACTCCTGTTCATTCCGTGGTACTGAAGTATCAGCCGGTGCTGGTTGATTGTCGTCTTGCTGTTGCGAAGGTAATGGATCATTGGCAGCCTTCTTTAGCATATCGACATGGAAGCGAGGATGAATACCAATTGGGACATCTAACTCGATCACATGGGGAGAGATTATCTTCAGGACCCTATATTTTGCGTGCAACCAAGCGAGTTTCTTCGAAAGTCTTGGCGTTGAGATGTTTTTTAAGATAAGCCATACACAGTCGCCTTCTCTAAAGATCTCTGCCTATTGTCGGCCTCTATTTGCAGTATCTTCAATTATCTACTGACGCCACGCCATGGAAGCTTGAGCTAAAGCTTGGCATTCCTCGAGTTTTTTAACTAGGCTAACTGCTTTACGGGCTTTTGAAGAGGTGCACTTAGTAAGATTTGTCTCGCTAGTTTGAAGAGCTGGAACATGATATCCATGTATTAGAAAAAATGGGCTATATCCGAGCGAAGAATCTCTATTATTTAGTGCCAACTGAGCTGCACGAAGTAATTCTGACCTATCAGTCTGCAAATAAGTGACAAATGCACGGAGGTAAGCCTGAACTTCCTGGTTAGCCCTTTCAGCCGCTCCATCGGTTTGCGGATGGAAGGCTGTGGAGAGTCGCTGTTGTATGCCAGTCCGTTCACAAAGTCGCCTCCAAAAGCCTCCAACCCAGTTACTTCCGCGATCCGAAGTTATGGCTTTAGGGAAACCATGAAATCGGTAGAAGCAATTTAAGAATATATTCGCGCAGGATTCGGCAGCCATTGTATCCATAGCCTCGAGGATAATCTCTTTACTCAATCTATCTGTTATCACCATTAAGTAGTGTGGTTGGTTATTATTAGCAGGTAAATCTGTCATAAAATCAATAGACAATTCTTGATGGAAACGCTCAGGAATGGGCAACGGTTTGAGAAATCCGCGTTTTTTATCCCGCCATACGTGCGTTCGAACTCAAGTGTTGCAGTTACGTACGAATTGTCGTACCATATTGCCCATATGAGGCCAGTAGAAGTCTCTATTCAGAATACTCAACGTTACTTCTTGTCAGGATGTCCTGTCACTGGTGAGTCATGTGATTTATGTATTAATGCTGTCTGCAGAGGCTCATATTCGGGAATTAGAAGTCGATTTCTCCATCTGATGTGGTCATTTTGGTCTATCAAGTATTCTGAAATGGAAATTTTAGACTTTACTGAAAGGGGGAAGCATCTCTTGTCCTCTTTCAGGGCTTTTGTAATATCTCTAAATTGACCATCCACCTGGACACCTATCTCCCAAAGATGAACGAGCTCTATATCTTCGAACGGCGCATTATAATTCACAATTGAGGTACGAATATTATTGATTGGTACCTGAAATTTAGGTTCTATCCAATTATTTGGAATTAGCTGCATATGGCCGTGAAGGAGTCGGGAGTTGTTGGCATCTTTTGGGGTATCTTGTTCAAGTCTCGATAGAGTGTTCGGCCTTACGGCGTCTTTACCTGGTCTATAGTTCAGCTTAATCCCTGGCAGATCATCAAGCAATGATTTCCATCTTATTTTTCTCTCTGAAAGGGTCCTTTTATTCATGAAGTACTGCAAGTTTTTATGATCAGTCAGTGTTTCAATATCGTGTTTTAACGACATTAATTCTGATCTCCAAAACTCTACTGCCCGAAAAATAGCCAATAATTCCTTGTCATGGATATCATAATTGCATTCACAGGGCGACAATTTTTTTGAAAAGTATCCTATGGGCCGTAATCTTCAAGATGAATCCCTTTGAGACAGGCAAGCACCCATCGCCCTATTGAAAGGCTGAGGGCGATGGATAGGGAGACGTCACCTTGTGAATAGAATACTGATAGGTATGGGAGGATTCAATAGATCACTTTGACAGAGTAAGATGATTGATTGATGGTGAATTGTATTTATGGATGATTGATGTAGATACTGAGAGTAAAAAGGCCCTATCTATATATAGGAGTTCCTAACCTTATTCCTCTACATGATATTGTCTATGATAGCTAGAGTAACTACAATGGTGTCCTCATTGTAGTGAACACGTTGATGTTAGTGTATAGTGACCAGGAGGCAATAGTGATCAGACTCTAAGGGGTTAACTTTGCTGGTGCACAGTTATCCCCTGAAGGTGTGTGCAGTTATGAACTCAGATTTTTACAACACTCCCATCCTGAACAGTCAGTCTCGAGTACTGTTTTGCGTTCTAGGTCAAATAGCGCAAGTATTGGTGGGGATATGAAGTAATTCTTCAATTTCTCGAAATATTGGCGAGCTTGATGATCTAATTGAATTTTTGCTTTCCCAGAGAACTCCTTTTTGGTGTAACGCTGGAGGGGAGCGCTCAAGCTTGCAAACTCATCTATAAAATCTCGGTAAAAATTTGCAAAGTCTAGAAAGCTACGCACTCTAGTTTGGGTTCGAGGTAGATTCCATCTCTTGATAGCCTCGATTTTTTCTGGATTGACTGAAATACCTTTTCCTGCAGTAACAATGAATCCGAGATACTTTACCTCTTTAACAGCAAAGTCACACTTTTTTAAATATAATTTTAATCCCACGCTTGCCAGGCGCTCAAGGATTTTGTTAACTTTTTCTAGATGATCATTTTCTGATCCATTGCTCCAGATAAGCACATCGGCGAGGTAGGCGGTGCAGAATTCATCAAGATACCCATGAAGAAGGCTATTTATCCATCTTTGCCATGCTGCTGGAGCCCCTATTAAGCCAAAAGGCATTACTAACCATTCGAACTCGCCCAGCCTAGTTTGAAATGCTGTTTTCCATTTATCCTCCTCTTTAATTCTGAGTCGATGAAAGGCTGCGCTGACATCAACTTTCGAGAACCAGCGTGCCGTAGAGATAGATTGAAAAGTTTCTTTGATTAGAGGAAGGGGGTACCTGTCTTTTTGGTAATTGCGTTCAAGGACCAATAGTCAACACAGAATCGTAATCCTCCGCCGGGTTTCTTTACAAACAGGACAGGAGCTCCCCCTGGCGAGCTACTAGCTCTGATCCAGTTACGATCGAGAAGCTTAGTAATTTCCT